CCCCACCCTTGTCAACAAGCCAACATATTTAACTATGCACCTCCGGAAGGGGAAAGAGAATGGAGATTCATGTGGAGAGGGCTTTCATGAATCAAGGGGGAACTAGTGTCTGTTGCTTCTACTCCCATGTACTGATCAGCCCTCAGTTATTTTGAGGGAGCTAGGAAACATATAGCCAGAGAGAGGAGGAGAAAATGGATATTGGTAAAGAGTAGCTGTCTTTGCCAAGTATTAGAGTAAATGAGAATTATCTTGGCTCAGGGTTCTAGTAATAATTAAAGAAGATGTTAGTTAAAAATATTTTGCCATCTATAATAAATTCAGAGGATCTAGTCAAAACTACTAGAATGAATGCTTGTAAAAAAATTTAAAAAACAGTAACCTTGTCCCCTGACCATGCAATTATGATAGAGAAGTAGGTAAACCAAAATGAATTTTAAATACAAAAATGAAATATGGGATGAACTAAGCTACATCAATTTTTCATTAGAAAAGGAATTCCTGGCCAGGCGTGGTGGGTCATGCCTGTAATCCTTGCACTTTGGGAGAATGAGGTGGATGGATCATTTGAGGTTAGGAGTTCAAAACCAGCCTGACCAACATGGTAAAACCCCATCTCTAATAAAAATACAAAAATTAGCCAGATCCCAGCTACTCAGGAGGCTGAGGCAGGAGAATCACTTGAACTCAGGAGGTGGAGATTGCAGTGAGCCAAGATGGTGCCACTGCACTCCAGCCTGGGTGATAGGGTGAGGTTCTGTCTCAAAAAAAAAAGAAAAAAGAAAAAAGAATTCCTCCTTTCTCTCCCCATGTCAGGTCTATAACACACTGATGGCATAAAAATGATTCATTCAACAATGTCTAAATGAAACTAATTGTCTAAATGACAAACATAAGAAACATAAGTGATTAACTTTAAATGTCTGTGATTGATTTTTCCAAAAAGCAAGTACTATTGCCTTAGTTATAGTCTACTATTGTTAGGGCTACTATTGCTAGAACTTAATATATTTATAAAATCGCAATTTATCTCTATCAAGCAAGTACACAACAATTTTGGAATACATTTTGTCCAGTATTTATGCCCTAAAGAATAAAATTACTTAATGCAAAAATATACCAAAAAAATAAGACAAGCCAGAGGCTGGTAGAAAATATTTGTAAAGGATATATTTGATAAAGAACTGTTATTTGAAATACACAAAGAACTTTTTTGTTTTGAGACAGGATTCCACTCTGTCACCCAGGCTAGAGAGCAGTACCTCCCAGGCTCCAGTGATCCTCCCACGTCAGCGTCCTCAGTAGGTGGGACCACAGGCATGTACCACTCTGCCTGCCTAATTTTTGTATTTTTTGTAGAGAGAGGGTTTTGCCATGCTACCCAGGCTGGCCTCAAACTCCTGAGCCCAAGCCATCCACCTGCCTTGATCTCCCAAAGCACTGCGATTACAGATGTTTGCCACCACAGCTGGCCTACAAAGAACTCTTAAAACTTAATAAGAAAATAAACAGCTCAGCCAATCATGGTGACTACACATATAGTGCCAGCTACTTGGGAGGCTAAATCAGGGGGATTGCCTGCTTGAGCCCAGGAGTTCAAGTCCAGTCTGTGCAACATAGCAAGACCCAGTCTCTTTTAAAAAGAGAGAGAGGGAAGGAAGGAAGGAAGGAAGGAAGGAAGGAAGGAAGGAAGGAAGGAAAGAAGGAAGGAAGGAAGGAAAAAACTAAGGAACAAAGAAAGGAAGGAAGGAAGGAAAATGAACAACCCAGTTGAAAAATGGACAAAAGACCAGAATGGGCACCTCATCAAAGAAGAGATAGAGATGGCAAATAAACAAATGAAAAGATGTTCCATATCATATGCCATCAGGGAAATGTGAATTAAAACACTATCACTATATATTTATTAGAATGGCCCAAATCTAGAACATACACCAAAAGCTGACAAGGATGTGAAGCAACAAAAACTTGCATTCATTACTGGTGGGAATGCAAAATGACATGGCCACTTTGGAGGACAGTTGTCAGTTTCTTACAAAACTAAATAATACTCTTACCAGCAATCACATTCTTTGATATTTATCCACAGTAGTTGGGATCTCATGTCCATGCAAAAACTAGCACACAGATGTTTACAGCAACTTTATTCATAAATACAGAAAGTTGGAAGAAACCAAGATGTTCTTTAGTATGGGAATGGATAAACTGTAGTACATCTAGACAATGAAGTATTATTTAATGATAAAGAGAAATAAGCTATCAATATATAAAAATATACGGAGAAATCTTAAATGCATAGTACTAAGTGAAAGAAGCCAATCTGAAAAGGTTACAGTGTATGATTCCAACTATCTGACCTTCTGGAAAATGTGTAACTATGAAGACAGCAGAAAGGTCAGTGGTTGTCAGAGGTTGGGGGGAGGGATGACTAAACAGAGAATAGAGGATGTTTAAGGCAGTGAAACTATTCTATATGCTACTATAATAGTAGATACACATCATACATTTGTCAAAACCTGTAGGATATATACAACACCAAGAGTGAACACTAATGCAAGCTATGAACTTTGGGTGATCATTGGTTCACTGTACCTACCTGAACCATTCTGGTGCAGGCTGTCAATAGTGGAGTAGGCTGTGTATGTGGTAGAGCAGTGGGTATCTAGGACTCTTTGTATTTTTGGATTAATTTTGCCGTGAATCTAAAACTCCTCTAAAAAATGAAGTCTAATTTAAAAATTATGATTTATAATGAAATTTTAAAATGTGGCAAGATCAATAATGCAATAACCTTTTTTTTTTTTTTTTTTTGAGATAGAGTCTTGCTCTGTTGCCCAGGCTGGAGTGCAGTGGTGCGATTTCTGCTCAATGCAACCTCCGCCTCCTGGGTTCAAGCAATTCTCCTGCCTCAGCTTCCTGAGTAGCTGGGACTACAGGCACGCACCACCACGCCCGGCTAATTTTTGCATTTTTGGTAGAGATGGGGTTTCACCATATTGGCCAAGCTGGTCTCGAACTCCTGACCTCATGATCCGTCCGCCTCTGCCTCCCAAACTGCTGGGATTACAGGCATAAGCCACCACTCCCAGCTGCAATAACTTTTCTTTAATTTTGCTTAGATGATAATAAAGATTTTTCAAGCACTTGTATTCAAACTGTAGGAGATTTGTAGATGTGTACAGGGATGGGCATGGTATTAGTAATGTTCTTTAATCCAGGGATCCATGGCAGGGCCCTCTGGATTTAAAGTCATTAATTTCTATTATTATCACAGTGCCTGACCATGAGCACTTAATCTGATTATCTCTCCTGCTATTCTAACCAGAGCTATCCCACCACTGTCTTACAACAGGTGCAAATTAATTCCTAACATAAAGCAATCTGAGCTACTTTAGAAAGTTCTTTACATTTGTTTTGCTATTAAGTAAACTCTGAAGTGCCTCAGTCCTTGATTAAGAAATCATGCTATTTTCTATGTGATTTTCATTGCCTGAATTCAAATTATAGCATATTAATCACAATCCACAATATCAGGATTGCAGAGGTACAATTAATGTTTCAATAACTCATTAACTGAAATATTTCCCTCTGCAAAGGAGATTTTATTGTTTGCATGCTGTTATAAATATTTTCCAAGGGGGCTCCAAATTCAGAGCATCACTGTAACTAGCTAGGCTATATAAATTAACAAGGCATTGAATCCTCTACTAAGTGGTAAATATACACAATGTATTATATTACCTTAAAAATGCTTAATGCAATCAATTCACAAGAAAGAGTCTGCAATTTTTTAACTACAGAAAAGCTATTTTAGAAGTAATCTTTAGCTGTGAATAGAAAGGAACAAGAAAATCATGATATTGAAGTAAATAAGTAATGAATAGTTTGTTTCTTGGTGGAGGGGAATATAACCCTTTTTGGAAAGAATATAAAAACAATTTGTGGATCACTTATGACAAGAAAATAGCCTAGGGCAGTTATTCTTTTTCTTTTCTATGACTGTGAAAAGAATAATAATCCTGCAAATCACCTAACCTTCCCCATTACTGCCACATAATAAACTAAGAAATGAAATTAAAACAATTTAACCATATCTGAGGATAAATGAACTTTTAAGGGGATGGCAAGAAAAGTGTAAGAAATTCACATTTATTAAGCAATTCCATGAAGTAGACACTTTGCTAAATACTTTGTAAGCATTTTTAAATTTAATTTTCATATATTAATTGAATTAGAGATTATTTTTCCCATTTTACATTTAAAGAAAGAAACCCAGAAACATTAAGTAAATTGTTCAAGGTTGTATCAGTGACAAAGCTCAGAATGAATCCTCATTGTTTTAAAGATGGCTTCAAAAACATTTTCTTTTTTAGGAACACTGAAGAGCCTTCTGACTCAAGATGGTAGGCTAAGCTCATCTATTTTCTATCACTCTCAAGGCTCTGTTAAAAAAAATAGTCAAAGATTAGCAAAAATGTCTAAATCTACAGTAATGGGAAAAATATGAAGGGGCCTCAGCAGATAAAAGATTTCAATAATGTTTTGCAAGATGGAAAGTAGGCAGTTAAATTATAAATTCATTCAGCAAAGTAGAGGAAACTGCTACCAAGTTTTATGCAGAGCTGTAGTGAAGGCAGTAACAAGGTTTTCCACCACAGCCCCCCAGAATATGCCAGACAAATGAACTGTTGGAATAAAAAGCTGGGTCAAAAAAAGGCAGTTTAAAAAGCTTGTATACAGAACAAACTCCCAGTTCCCTCATCTGCAAAATCTATAGCATTATAGCACTTAAGCTTTACTTCTTATATTGTCATTGAAAAAAAGAAAGATCTCTTCTATGTTGAGAACTAGGGCATCAGCTAATAATAAATAGCACCTGGATGACTCTGTAGACTACACAATGAATTTGGTGTCTAGAGAATATTACAAACAGCTGTATACACTATCAATTACACTACAAGCCAGAGAGTAAGCGTAATCTTTTTTTTTTTTTTTCCAAGGTGGAAGTGGTTCTTGAGAGTCAAATCAGTTCTATAAGTGTTTGGTGCTCAAAACTGCATTCCCTCAGCTTGCTGCTCATTTCAATGCTGTAATGGATAGTTCCATGATCACTGGTGGTGAGTGTCCCATCTCAAGCTCATTTTTACTGCTTTTCTTTTTGTTTATCTCAGAGTTACTTAGCCTAAGAATAGGCATATTGCAGAAGTCATGGGGAGGGTACAGATAGTGTTCCTGAGTAACCAATGAGAGATAGAAATCTGTAGATAGATGCCCAATCTCTCTCATCCTCCAGATACAAGATTCCATGTGGTCTCTTTATGGTTTCCCAGAGGGTTCGTAGTAGATTTATTTCAGTGGCTCACAGTGGTAACCGGCCTAGAATATATCCTTTATTGGCATTCCCTCTTTCCCTCTCTTACTCCCTTACACGTTCACTGCAGATATCTAGAAGCAATGCTCAAGTAAACTGCATGTATTTAAAACCTGTCATCAGCTCTTAAGAAACCCCCAAAATAAGACAGGAGAGGTGTAGGAATCAGGCCTGTGCTAAGATCTGTGGATGCCCAAATTAGGCCAATTATTTGGCACTCACCCAACATTGAGAAACCTTTATTTAACATTTTTTAAAAGTCCAGAGGTCAGAAAACTGCATCTGCCATTGCTACCATCACTGATAACATCACATCTTCTTCATGCTAATGAAGCTGATGATAAATGATGAAATGTGGGATCCAGCTATTGGGAGAGTTAAGTCTGTCTGAGCTATTTGAATTATCTTATCCTTCCAAAAAATCCACTCACTCCAGTACATTTCATCGGTAGAATATAAACCAGATCCAAGCCTGTAGCTTCAAGGAAGGTTGGAAATATAGATTTAGCTCTCTAGACTTTGCAATAGGTGATATGTGGGATGTTATAAGAAATGAGTGGGAATGCATGTCAAGTGGATTGAACAATATTGAACACAGTCTGCTGTGCTGCTACTCAACATCTACAATCTTCTGCCTATGTTTATCTTCCAAAGAAAAACCAGAGGAAAACCAACATGCTCCAATCTTGCGTAATACAACAGAACCTTTTATAAACAAAAACATGATCACGCTCTCCTAAAAGAGAAGATCCAAAGTCTGTTCATTGTATCCATCTAGTGATATTGTTCATTTCTCCTCTAGTTCAGTTGTAATTCCACCTTGATATCTTTTAAACTTAGGGCTAAACTACTATACATTTTACCATCAATAATATCCCTTGTATCAAATAGAAAGGAACAGAGAGAGGAAAGATTTGGGGTTAATATACGCAAATATAAACACAAAGCAGGGAAAAATACGCAAAACTATCTCAGATATTGTTCTTGCAACTGGTCACAAAATCACAAATAATATGGTTAACCTAATTTTCCACTGCTTATTCCAGTTGTCTTCTGCCTCAGTCATTATTTAAACTGGAGAGGATTCTTTACATGGTAGAGAAGCCCCAACCTTCCTTGCTGAATGATTCAAGGCCTTGGAAATACTGTCTCTTTGGGATTACTAAAGGCATCCATGAAATTTTATCACTGGCCATGTAAATACTTGGAAGCACCAAAGAGGATCTAGTTCAGATATAGACCTCTTTTTTACCCCAGGAATCACCACAGCAGATGTAGTACTCTTCTTTGTTGAATGGCAAAAGAATCCCTAAATTCTAGGTGGCCATTTTAACTTTAAATGAAACCATTATTGTATCTCCCAGTAGAAACTTTCTTTCTCTGGGTACTAAAAATCTCTAAACCGGCACAGCAAAAAGTCATAAGGATAAAAACAAAAAACTATTGCATGTAGGTATAGTATTAATAGTCTAAGAATCTGCTTTCTAATCTATCCCTTGGTTCCCAGATCAAGTATCCTGGCCTGAGGAGAGAGAGCATCATACATTGGTGGCTGGTTTAAGAGCACGGTATCTTGAAGGGAAGTATCATTGGCTCTCAAACTGTTGTCTGCAAGCTAGGCTCATAACGTAATTTAATAAGACATTTCACTGACTTCAAGGCCACATGCTTCAGAGACAAACTTAGATTACATTTCTCAGCATCCTTTGCTCTTAAATGGAATGATCTGAATGAGTTACTGTCAATAGAGCATGGGTTAAATTTGATGATAATCGTCTCCAAATCTTGGTCATTGATGGCCTGCTGCCTCCATGAAATTCTCTGAGACACCCTTCTGTAAGTCCACCTCCTCAGCCTAATGCAGAAAACCAATTGAGGGAGGGAGCCCTGGGATCTCTGAATGACTGTGGGCAGAGCCTTTCACTCTGCCCTACTGACCTCTACTGCACCGTGAAAATGGAAATAGAATTTTAAAAAATTATCTATGTGTTCCATCATATTATATTAAGCCTGTTAATTTTTGTTTTTTTTTTTTTGTTTTTTGAGATGGAGTTTCGCTCTTGTTACCCAGGCTGGAGTGCAATGGCACGATCTCGGCTCACCACAACCTCTGCCTACTGGGTTCAGGCAATTCTCCTACCTCAGCCTCCTGAGTAGCTGGGATTACAGGCACGTGCCACCATGCCCAGCTAATTTTTTGTATTTTTAGTAGAGACAGGGTTTCACCATGTTGACCAGGATGGTCTCGATCTCTTGACTTCGTGATCCACCCGCCTTGACTTCCCAAAGTGCTGGGATTACAGGCGTGAGCCACCGCGCCCGGCCCTTGTTATAGTAATTATAGTAATTATAATTACTATAATTGGGGTTGTTATAGTAATTATCCAACCCTGACTAATACATGGAAAAATAACTAAATTCCATATATGTGAGACCATTGCCTTATTTATTTTATTACACATTTTTTTTGCATATGATGCAATGTTCTGTGGCATACCTTGGTGATGGATAACACATTCAATAAATTTACAAATGGATTGTATTGCTGGTAAATTCATTCCAGAATAAGTGTCATTCTAGTAAGAATGAGTTGATCCCTTTTCCTAATGGGAGCAAAGTGGCTGGCTATTCCAAGTCCATATAACAAGGTCAACACTGGACTCTGCTGTGGGCAGGTGGGCACTCAGCAGTGGTGCTAGCCAGACCAGCCGTGCTGAGAAGTCCATACCATTTGAGCCCATGTAAACCTCTCTCTTGTAAATAATGTAAATAATATTTGGGTTATTTTCCTGTGGCTGCCATAACAAATTACCACAAAATTAGTGGCTTAAAACAATAGAAATTTATTCTCTTACAGTTCTGGAAACCAGAAGTCCAAAATGAAGGTGTTGGCTGGGCTGTGCTCCCCTTGAAGGGTCTAGAAGAGAATCCACTCCTTGCCTCTTCCAGCTTCTGGTGGCTGCCAGCATTCCCAGCGTCATCACCCCAGTCTCTGCCTGTGTCATCACATCACCATCTCCTCTTTGCAGGTGTAGCATTTCTGTCTCATAAGAACACTTGTAATGGCATCTGTGGCCCACCCAGAGAACCCAGAGTTATCATCTCATCTTAAGAGCCTAAACTTAATCACATCTACAAAGAACCCCTTTTCAAATAGGGTGACATTTATAAGTCCCAGAGCTACCATGAAGCACACTACACTGTACTTTTGTCCATTTTGTTTATAAACCCAGTAAGCAAACATGGGGTGGTTAGGAAAACTAAGGAAGGAGGCTGACTAATATCCATAGAACAGATTATCCTGTCTCTCTGTTTATTAACAGCCTCTTCTGCAGTAGGTGCCTTTGGTGAGCATTTACATGGAACACAAAAAAGTCATACTCAGAACCCCTTGTCACCAATCCTCAATTTTATTCCTTCCAAATCCTTGAGCATCTAGCCAAATCATTATCCATTACCGAAAATCTGATATAAATGCATGACCCTGGGAAGTTTTCCTTCTAGGAAAAGGGAGCAATCAGATGTACTGCCCAAAGTTCTTTCATTAGCTGGATTTTCCTTCCACACACATTTAAGCTGTAACACTGCCACAGTTCGTTTCTAGCTATTGTTTGCATATTCTGTGGAATAATTTGTAAACCACGTCAATTACTTTCTTTTACAGTTTCTCAACAAGGGTCCCCTCATAAATTAGACTTTGTCCCAGATAGTTTGAATAAAGAGACTTTAATGAAGGGATTACACATAGAGATGTAGCCAGGGAAAAAGAAACAAACAAGGGATGGGGAGGTGCAAGAAAACTAGCATGAGTGTGATGCTGTTATTATTCTCTGGAGGAACAAGGAAAGAAACAGAGCTTGGTGAGAATTAGATCAACAGAGAAGCAGCTTCCCAGCAGGGACTGCGGTTGTGGAGAAAGGTATGTAGGGTCAGAGATGCAACACTAAAGTAGGAAAAGAGCGTGGAAGTGTCCTACACACTCTGGAAACTTTTGATCTTCCATTGGCACTTACTATTCATTGAATCCAACTGGAAGACGGCTGACAAGGGAGCCAAGATGATGTAGCCCATATGGTTCAGCATTTCAGGGCACAAAACAGAGCAAAATGGATCAGAGGTGTGCAAACACAGTCAGCTAACATTTCACAGGAACTTTCATATGGTCAAACGTGTGGGCTGAGGGAGAAATGGCAATGCAGCAAGAACAGGTGCAATGGTCACCTGAGGTGTTGCTCATGCCTCTTACCTGTGCCTTCATGACTTTCTACTTGATGAAGGAGTGCTGCTGTGCATATCCTAGTTTATGACAGAACACCTAGACTGTGATGGGTAGCTGTTTTCATGACCATTTGATATTCTGTGGTCAGATACACAAATCTCTGCCATGGCCTAAAAGCAATACAAGATCTGTTTCTTAATAGTTATTTGGAGACTAGGTCATGGCTTTGTTCTAAAACCTGAAAGGATTGTGCTGTAATTCTAAATCAAGGTTTGCCAGGGGCCTCCTATGGGATTGCTTTCTGCCAAACACTCCAAGCACCATTTAATCTGTTGGATCTCAAATCTCAAATATCAGAGCAGCATGCACAACAGTTCATAGTTACAAATCATTTTCTTGCTCTGGACCCCATTGAGAACCGGCAATTTTATGGATTACTTGATAAATGGGTCAAAGTAGCACATTTAAAGGTGTGTTTGTTGTTTCAAAAGTCCTGTGAGATGGTAACAATCATTGGGTCTTTTTAATAGTGGGAAATTTTCATAGCAATTTTCTTTTACCCACTATTAAAGAGATAAAATGATTATTACCATCTCATGGGATTTTTGAAACAACATATATACACCTTTGTATATGGAGGAGGAAATATCTCAACTTGCTATAAGCTACTCGACTCCCATAAATTTTATTGATGTCATGGCCTTTGAATTTACATAATTTGTTTTTTCCTCCCACTTTCTGGCACATATGTTCCTTACCAAGGAATCTATGATGGTTGCCACTTCCTACTTATCATAGCCAGTCAGCATGTCGCTAACCATTGTAGTGGAACAAAGTGATATCCTATGGTGTGATGAGACAGACAAGGTTCCTGTGGACTAGATTATTACAGAAAACTGGAGAGCTGAGGTAAGATAGCAAAGACATTAAGTCCTTTGGATGCATTAAAATTAAAATTTAAAAAAGGATAGCAAAGATGTACAGCTTACTTTACAAGGTGAGAGAAATGACTTCTGTTATCTCTTTGTTGGAAGGGAGAAAAATACTTTTAGCAGATTCATAGCAGCATGTCAGCTGCCAGCATTTTATTTGCTTCAGTTAGCTAACTACATCTGAAACAGCCATTGAATTTGGAGTTACATGGTTAATAATAGTAGTCTCCTCAAGACTCCACCATTTCTGCTTGGGTCAAACAGGAGTGTTAAATGGGGGTATGACATAAAATCATCACCCCTGAATTTTTCAGACCTTGGATGGTGACATGAGCCTCCGACATTCACCCAGAAATGTGGCACTACTTTTGGTCTATTGTTTCAATAAGAAGGGACATTCTAGGAGCTTCAGCTTGGTCCTTCATACCATAATGGCCTTCATTCCATGAGATAGGGAGCCAATGTGGGAGTTCAACCAGAGTTGAGTATGTCTAATCCAACTATACATGCAGGAACTGGGAAGGGTATGTTTGAGGACCCACTGAGTCACTGTGAGACGAACTCAGATCACCAGGCCTCTAGACTCCCCCATTTTGACTGGTGAGCACAGTAGCAATTTGGTTGCTCAATGAGCAGCATCAGCTCAGTCAGTGTCCGAGTAATCCTCTCAAAAAGTGTTTAATTTCCTTCCCTTTTGATGAAAGCAGGAAAGAGGATTTATAGTATATCCTATAAAATCATCACAGAATATTTCAAGGGAAACCAATATTCCCTCAATTTAAAAAGCTCTAGGTCTGTGTACTGGACCAATGATGGGAATTGGTGAGGGGCTGTGTCTCTCATTGTAATTACTCAAGTCAGGCCAGTGTTTACCAGATTTAGTCTGTTATACTAATCAAGAAGGACCTTAGTCCATCTGTTTCAGTGCTTAGGACATCATCATAAATTGGCCACCACCATAGACACCCACAGGCCAAGCCATTCTAACAACTCTGGCTCTTTTGCCAGAGTTGTTATGGACTATAACACTATAACAGAGTTGAATGGACTATAGTCACGTCCATTTCATCTCTGGCATTTAAATATTGCCATTTGGTGTCTGCCAATCTAATACTCTAATTCCCACTGAAATTTAAATTAAGGAACTCATTTTAGGGAATCTTCCTCCCTCTGTCATCATCCCAATCTATAGAAAGTAACCACTACAGAATTTTCCAAGGATGCTTGTGGACCTTACCAACAGATTTCTCAAACATAGAGAGGAGGTAGTCAGGTGGGTCACACATGGTAGATCTCCAACATTCCTAACTCCATTAAGTCTCTAGAGTCTCTCCTCCACGTTAATCCAAAGAATTTCTAACATATATCTGAGTTTAACATAGGCTGGTACTGAGTCCCTATTTCAGCTGAAAAACTGAAACACCAGTAAAGCTGCTCCTTACTGTTGAGCTATGGCCTCAAAATAAGAATTTTTGGTTAGATATAAGAACTATATCAATAATTTCAGTTTATTCTAAAGATACGTTTCTGCCTGCCTTAACACTGAGAATCTATTCCTATACATATGTGCAGATGAAAATTAGCCAAATTCTATCATCCTAACTGCCTCCTCCCAGGATAGATTTTGTATTTGTTCCCCTGGGGCATGCTGTGATCTAATTGTCTTTGCAGATCTGATGGCACTGAAAGGGGAGAAGGCAGGCATAAAGAGGATCAGCATTCCTTTGGAAGGTAACTACCTTGGTTGAGGTCATTATGGAATCTCAAGCAACAAAGGACTAATGTCATCTGACAGGAAGGAGAGACTGCTTTTATGAACAGGCATATTCAAAGCAGTTTAAAAATTCATGTTCTCAGGTTCATCCAAATCTACCCAAATATCCCCATTCTGTTCCTTTAGGTCCCATCCTGTCATGATCAATGCCACAAATTTCACATAGGAAACCACTGAGGCTGTGAACTCAAGTTGTAATTCTGCAACCCAAAGGTGCAAACTTTGAATTTTGTTTTAAAGCATTTCAAGTCTGCAGTTATGATATATAAAAGGGTCTCTTAAAAGGGTCATAGAAGCTGTCTGCAATTTTTTCCTTGCCCTGAGCCAAGAATTTAAAATAGGAGTGAACCCTTTTTCTGTAAGCTCTGCAGTACAATAGGAAGCAACGCTGCCACTCAAGTTTTCTCTATTTCTTATTGGCACTACAATAGTGCAGTGGAGCAGCTGGTCTGTCAAAGGACTGTCTTCAATAGCTCTTCCATCCTATGTGGCCATAGGTGTTAATTTAGCTATTTGCTTCATGGAAAACAGTATCCTATTTCCCGGTGGTCATGAAGTTATTACTGCCTATAAACTCAACAGATAACCAATCTTGTATTATATTTAAAAGTTGATTTCTTGATTAAATTTTGATGCTGACTGCTGAGCTAGGTAAGGTTCATCACATGAAATAGATAACACTCAAGGTATTTCAAGCAGAAAATCTTTAGTTCAAAAGATGAGGTGCTTATAAAGTTATTGGTAACTTGGAGGAATAAAAGTGAGGAGGCTATCCTCAGTCTTTAGCTTAAATTCACACAACCTCATCTGTCATAAGTGCCATCACCATTAGCACTGTCTGTATTCATAAAATTGATGCCAAGATAATGGAATGTGTTATCCAATTGTTTCCAACACTTTTGTCTGTAGGAGCCCATTTATATAATTGTTCTACTACAGAAAATTTCATGAGTGCCTCACATTGACAAAACCTAAATTTATGAGGGGATCACATGGGAATCTGAGAAATGTGATTTTTAGTTTCCCAGACTCTGTAATACTAAAGGAGGTGAGAAAGAACATACAAAGGGGAAAGGAATGGATTCATAGTGCTCAAAATCATCTAGTACACGAACCAAAGATGATGCTTGATAATCTGAAGTAGTTAATATTTAGGGTAGACTTGAAGATGTAAACTCCAAATCTCAACTTTAATGATAAATTAGAAATTTGTTACCCAAATTCATCTGACTGCTCTTTTTCCTCATGAGGTCCCCTGCTACTTTTATGTCTGGAGGAAAGATTAGATACCACTTTATGAGGGCTGGCAGTAATAATTCAAGCATAACAAAAACAAATGTTGAATATAGCTTTGAAGAGCAGTTTTTCTTTTGTGATGTCTTTATTAAATTTTCACTAAGATCTGAAATCAGAGTATATTGGAAACCCAACTGTATTAGGTACAACTGATAAACTCTAACTATATAATATGCTTATAAAAATTATAAATGTATTTGATCCCATTTTATTAATTAGAAAACAAGCCACACTCAAAGGTGAGGTGAGACTGTTGTGAACATAATGCTATCTATCGTACAAAACTCATAATCTCTCCACCCTCTAATTACCAAGCAGCTAGCTAAACATTATTCTTGAAAGACTGGTTCTTAAAACAGCTTCCTCACAGGGAGGAGAAACTCAGTTGAAATGTAATGCATCATGAGTGACAAAGAAGGGATTTCAACTGGATGCTTTCCTTTTTCCCCCATGACAAATTCAAAGAAAATACAATTCAACTGAGAAATGGAGCAATTTGACTGGCTTCTCTAAAATTGCAGAAAAGGGATTCAGGAATACCTAAAGACTGACAGAGGACACGGAATATGTATGTGGACTGATGAAATATTTATTCTTTATAACTCAATATTGTATTGAAATTGAGAAATAATAATTTCAAGATCCTGTTTTTAGAAATAGCCATAGTATTTAAATCTTTCAAGATTTTCTTTTGTATTTAGTATGGCTTCTCATTTGGACATATCCTGTATAGATATTATTTAGACATATTCTGTACAGATGTGCAAGTGCAATGTGACCTTCTGATAGCTGCATTATAATTAGATAGATATTAAATGATGTGTTTCAGTGTGTACTTCAGGATTCTCCTTCAGGATTCACAGCCTCCTATGAAAACAAGTTCAAAAGGAGCTGTGCCTTTCAATTCACAGCCATGCCTTCCCCTCTGCAATTTATAAGAAAACTAACTTCTAATACTTGTATGATTTGTAGTATTTTGCAACAAAAATATTAGGTTGGTGCAAAAAGAATACTACAAAAAAAGAATCCATTTCTACTTCTCTTTCTTTTCACAAATATTCTTGTCATTCAGAAATTATCTGCCTAAAATACCAAAGACTAAAGCATGGATTCTAAATTACACCACTAATAAGGACTTGCTTTCTAAGGTCACTTGCCAAAATTACTTACACGCTGAGTAGCAGGTGACAGATTTTCTTCAGCAGATTTTATGATTACTGCTCAGATGCTGTGTGCCTGTGTACACAGCTCAGTATCACAGTGTCTCTCACCTCTGCTGCCCTATTAACCATCCAGCAGGATGCTGAAATCTGCCACCCAGGTCCATGCTGAGCAGGCCAGCCAGCATACATCCTGGATAGCTGTAGCTGTTTTTTTCTTAGTAAGAATGGTATTATGAGTACAGCTGAGATTATGGCTATAACAAGGAAACAGCTGAGACAGTGTGAACTCCTCAGTGTGGTGTCTCATTCTGAAGGTGAGAGAGATTCAAAAGTTCTGCTCCAATAGTCAATATATAGCATCTGACTTGTTTTGTCAAATAGATAACACAACAAAAATCACTTATACCTCTGATTTCTCTTTCTCATTTATAGGGTAGCTAAGAAACAAGCCTATAAATTAAAATATTCTTAATAAACTAAAAACACTGCTAGATTCCATGCTCTAAAGTAAAAACATAATAATCGATGCTAAAATATTTTTGAATACCCTAAGAGCATGCATAACAAAAGAGAGAAAAAGAGAGAATGAATTAATAATATCAAAACTAAAACTAGTCATCAGCTTCCATCAGCAAAGCAGTCAAGAGTAACAGACTTAGGAGGCCGAGGCTGGAGGATTGCTTAAGGCAAGGAATTCAAGACCAGCCTGGGCAACATAGTAAAATCCCATTTCTACCAAAAAAAGGAAAAAGTAACAAAAGAAAGAGCTACAGTCATCTATTAGAGAGGAAAACTCATGTCTCAGGTATTTCTAGTTATTGCAAGTATTTAACAAATTCCTTGTCTTCTATATAAGAAAATGTTACTTTAGTGACAAAGTTTTACCAAATAGGAGACATACTCTTTATTCACCAGTTTTTAGATATAAGGCATGCAACATATCTGTGATAACAGAGAAGAAATTATGAAAGCTCTGGAAAAGGCTGTATTTATGACATTTTAAAATAATCTTCTATCAAGAAACTTATAGTAAGGACTGAATGATTTAAATTGAAGAATCAAGAACATACCCCTTTACGGAAGAATAATTTAGAAAAAAAAATGGTATGTTTTATGTCTGAATGCAAAAGCTCTTCCAAAAGCAACTAATTTTGAAAGTAAAAATATGCTACTATAGAAAGTAAGCTTTTTACCAGCAATTGTAAATACCCAAGTTCTAGTTTGATTTCTTTTCTACATAAGAAATTAGCAGCAGAAAGCAATTTAGAATTAACTAAATCAAATAAACATCTAGCAGTTTACATTGTAATAAACTGATTAACAAAAAAAATCATTTTCCACAGCAGAAGTGTATTTATTGTGCTGAAATCAGGTAGCAGGGAATGAAGAGCTCTTGGGAACCAGTACAGAATGTTCACAAAGATTTACAAATCTCTAGTCATTACACACTGAACAATAAAACAAAGGTGTTGAATCCTCTTAGACCAAACTATGTGTTGAAAATTTTCTGTAATTCTCATGACTGCATGCCTTTGGGGGAAAAGTATTCATTTTTAATGCACAATAAGTATGTTATAGTTTACAAAATATTCTGAAGTAGTCTGTACAAACAGCATACATCCTACACATGCAGCTTTGACATGTTGTTGAGATACTTAGAAATATTCATGCTTTTTTTTTTTGGTCACATTTTGTCTTCTTATAGTAATCCCTTTGCAACATCCCTTAACAAATTAACCTATGTAGTAAAATATGGTACAAATTCTTTCCTACTTTATTTCCAGTTGTTCACTTATATTACATGAAACACTTCATTTGTAAATAGCAATTTTATTTTTATAGTTCTGACTACTCTCACTTTTATTCATGTTGTGTTTTAACAACACTTTGTAACATCGAGCATTGAATTTAACAATCTTTAGCACCAAGGAGTCAAGAATATTGCACCAAAATGGGTTTATACTTCATACCTAGTTAATAAATAAGATCTTGCAACTTAGTCACAAGGAAAACGTTACTCCAAAATTAAACACACTGAAAGAGAAGGATAATTTCACAGAAATGTTTGATGTATGCTATTTGTCATAAAAGCAAAAAAATACTAGCGGATTTGAAAGTTAATATTAAAATTTACATTAGAAGACTCCTTGATTTTTTAATTAAAATTTATTTAATTTTAAATGTTCTTTCCAACAGAAGAGGTAGGTATTTTTCCATATATGAAAAATCAGTAACAGCCACAAATCAAAACAAGGAAAGCCTGATAAAAATCAACATATTCTAACAGCACATAAATGTAACTATCTTATGATGTTACTAATAAAGACATGAGTTGTTTCATGTTTCAATCCAACAATAATCTTAAATTTCGTAATATATTTCTGCTAGTAACAGTAGTATTCAAATGTTGCCTTTTCATCAAAAAAAAAACAACAAATTGTTTCCCCACAGTGATTTGTGCCTTGAGTCGTGGTGATGTCCGAGTCACCAGATAAGATTTTACTGCAATTCTTTCTTATTTTCACCAACACCATTATCATCAAGCCTCTAAGATTCTACAGAGATCAGCAGATTTAAAAAATTTAATTACAACCAGAGTATACTCTGACTAGAGGTGGAGAGATTTGACCATTCTGGTCAGCAAATGAATTCAAATGCGCAAGTTTAAATGTATCCACATTTCATTTCAAGTTTTGGACAAGAAAATGTAACACAACTGATTTCGGTCAGTAGACAAGATAATTAGCAATTTATCAAAAAAAATTCATAAAGATTGTTTCTGTGATCATCTAAAATTCAGACCGAAGAATGAGTGACTGTAACATACATGAAATATCTCACCCTTTAGACAACTGGATGCCAACAGGGGGAGAATCTCCAAAGTCACATAATGATTGCTTTGGTCTGGAGAACATCAAGGCTAATTAAAAAAAAAAAAAAGTTAAAAAATTCATAAATAAAACATCTGGATATGGTATTAACACTTTACTCAGTCTAAGTTACTAGTACATAGAGCACATTTGTCTTTTCTCCCCACCCCCAACTCTCCTTTGCTTCTGTTTTCCCTGAAATTTTATATGATATGGGAGTTTTTCCTCACTGTCAACAACAGTTAAGGCCCAGTTCAATTTACTCTCCTTTTGCTTTTCCATTTTTCTGGTTTTTTCCATTTTGTATCACTAGTTGTTTTTCTGATTTGCTCACACCATTTGCTGAAATACCATTCATGGCTGTTTTTCCAGTTTTTGATTTCCTAGGCTCTTTGTATGTCCGAACGTAGAAGTTAAGAAAGAGAAATATGAAGCTGATTGCATAGGCAATTAGAGCCCAGTGCATCCATTTGGGGAAGGGGCAGTCAGTGTAAAGAGACAATGCTGTGTGCCCAATGGTCACATGGAATTGAACCTGAAAAACAAAAAACATAATAATTTAATCTGAATAGTAAACAACTTTTAACAACATCAGCATCTTCTACATAGCTATCACAGGCCCAAATTTTGCCACACTCTGCAAAATTTATTGTTTTCTGGCTCCCATGGCCAGCTACTTCTCATTCACAGCTCAAATGCCCTCTTCTCAGTAAGGGCTTTCTGACAAGATTTCAACTGGCCCTCTCAATCCCATTAACCAAAGACTTTTTGCATTTTTTAAAAGGAGAATTATAACTATTTGAAATTGTCTTTAGTATTTGTTGCTTCCTTATTGCCTATCTTTCCACTAGAATATAACTCCAGAAGGCAGGACTCTGTCTTGCCTATTGGTAATTCTTGAGTCCTCAGCACCATGTCAGGATCAATGAATATGTGTTGAATAATGTTATCTGATGGAAGGGAATCAGTGGCCTAGAAGAGTAAAGTAAGAGTATTGTAGGTGCTTTCATTTTATTTTCCTCCCACATTTGAGATTGGTTTCTTTCTATCAAATTGTAAGCAAGCAGATACATATACTTTTTTAAATCGGCTTATAAAAATGGCTCATTTATGTCTTACAGATAGTAGGCAGGTAAATTTTTCTTTGAACACTATCCTTTAAAAACTAATATTTTGATAATATTTAGTAGATATTTCAGAATAAATACAAAAAGAATCACTTTGAACTTTAAGAATTTTTAAAAGGAAAAAAGCCAAAAGTGAGATGCTTAAAATAAAATAAATTCTGATATTTCAATAAATGAATGGGCAAGACATGAGAATAATGAAATTCTATGGATGTTAACAAGGGTTAACTTTTTATACAATTAACTTACAGGACTAACTGTTTTGAGGACTTCTGGCTTGGAAATACAAACTCAACATCCTGTTTGAAATGGACAATTGTGGTTTCTCTTTTAAGGATAGCATTGTTCTTAAAATGTTAATTATTGATTAAAATAATCACTATTAATTATTTTAAATATTATAAAATTAATGAATGCCATGTAAGCTAAAAATTTATACCATATTAAAATAACTTTTATAATTTTCCTTGGCAGATATTCAAATCTGAAGAACTTTTGGTTTCACAATGGTTTTTAGAAGCTGCATCACCAAAAAGGGTGTGTATAAGGGTGTGATTGGGTATGGCATCACTCAAGGAGAGCCAGGTATAGGCTCCAACAAACCAGGACTAATTCACATGATTTTGATCACCTCTTCTTTTTCTTGGGTCATTTTACTACTTACTGAGATAAATGAATTACACAAACTGTATTAATAGCTTTTACACAAAAACTGGAGGAAGCTTCCTATACCACTTTGGCTACAAATGAATCCTTCACACCCAGCATTTCCCAAAAGTTGTGCTTCCTGTTTGGTTAGCCAGCTGTTTAGCAACTTAAAGCAGAGATGAATAATGTTTCCAAATGTGATTCCACTGATAAAACTGTGCACATGCTATGATTAAAGCAAATTATAATAAATTCTAAAGCTTGAAAAATAGCTACCAGGTTGGCTTTGAATTTCCAGTTTGATTACAGGCTAGTGCCTAGCATCTGAAAGTTACACTAATGCACACACTCAGATTGCCACAAGCAGTCTTACTAGGGGGATGTGTTGAACTGTCTCGACTAAAGACCACCATTGGAAAGTATCTGTCTCTTCTCTCTTAAGGACAGTGTTTTAGAGAATTAAAAGGTGTTCTCTTGTCCTTATTCCCTTCCGTTGCCCCACCCCTTCCTCAGCTCTGTGGTTTCTTTTCAACTGTATATTCGGAATATATAAGATACGTTAAAGACTGAAAGATGAAATAAAAAATAAAATTTTTAAGCAAGGATGAGATGAAGACAGGTAATAAAATTTTAAGTTAAAAAAAAATCACCTGAGGAAATAAATACATATTATTTTTCTAGTTATACATAAATCTACATACTTCGTAGTGTGCTTGGATCTTTAATCATCCTTTCCACAAATATGTTTAGAGAATGTTTCCCTTAGAGGAGTAAATGCTATGTCTAGTCTTTTAAGTATATTATAAAAGCAAAGACTTGTGACCAATATGGCTATGAATAGGTCAGCTGGAGTCAAGTGGCCTTATCTGCAATATAGCTACAGGATTAAGTTAATTTCATAATAGAATATTGTCTAAAATGACTTAACACTTTAAAATTAATCAAATTTAAATGTTTTCAGTATTTTACCAGAAGAAACTTTGGAAGCATTTAACTCACCAGCTGCAACATGGTCAGGTATCGTTTCCACCAAAGATATTTCTGAATCCATGGGCCAAATGCAGTTAAACCATAGTATGAGTACATAATCACATGGATAAAGGAATTCATCTGTGCTCCAAAAAATGCTTCAGAGAAACAACAGGGAATTACAAGATACAGAAAATTTTATTAGTAAGCCACTGACCTACACAATAAATGAATCCACATTATTTAATCTTGAGTACAGATTAGGAATAAAAGATATAAAGTAGTACTAATGAAAAGGTTTTCCCTTCAGATTAAGCTAGGTCTTTTTAAGGTTTAGATTTCAGGTTTTACCATATAAATAAAAATGTGTGTTCAAATGCAAAGGACTTTCAAAGTGGTAAGTTTTCAAATGGGGTATTCCAGTGAGCTTAAATAGGCCCAAACGTAGAACTCTTGCCTGTGTTACTTTTAATTCTACTATTCTTGGGGGAAAAAAGCTGTAATACATACAAGTCTTAAAGTAGATTTGTAAATGTTCCATTATTGCCTTCATATGTGCCAATATCTACAATGAAACAGTAGTTATTTCTTAGGTTTCTAAATAGTTACCATAATATGACAATGGAAACCAGCAAGGTGAGCTATACTATAATGACTTGTACTCTGGATCCTCCTCAGAGGAATCATCTGCATCAAGCTCAACAATGTCAACCATCCTTAATCTACAGGCATCTGAAAAGATCAGAGGCAGATCTTGGCCAAACTATGAATTCAGATCCTCTTTAACATGAACAAGAATGTATAAAATTTCCTTTAAGTAAGAACCAACAAGACCTATACAGGATGAGTATCCCTTATCCAAAATGCTCAGGACCAGATGTGTTTCTGATTTTAGATTTTTTCAAAAATTTTGGAATTTTGCATAGACATAATGCGGTATCTTGGGGATAGGACTCAAGTCTAAATCTGAAACTTTATATACTCTTTATTTTTATATATATATACTCTTTATACATGTATCCTAAAGATAATTTTATATAATTTTAAGATAACTTTGTGCATGAAACAAAGTTTGTGTACTCTGAAACATCAGAAAGTGAAGATGTCACTAACTTAGCCACACATGTAGACATTATTTGTGGTTGTTTGGCATGAACATTAGGCTGTACATGAAAAAGGGAGTTAAGAGGGTCTTTTTGCCTTTAGGGATACTGAATAAACTGTGTTGTGCACTTGAGTTTTGACTGTGACCCATAACTTGAGGTCAGGTATGTAATTTTTCACTTGTGGTATCATAATCATGCTCACAAAGTTTTGGATTTTGGAGCATTTGGATTTCAGATTTTTAGATTAGGGATGTTCAAGCTATATTAGAACAAGAGTGAGCTATGCACTAAGATGAAAATCTTCAGATTTGAGGGGTTGCGTCTTGTTATTCTTTGGTCAGAACTACTAGACCCGTTCCCCCTCAAAATATTATTTTCTACATTTAGTCTTAGTTTATGCTCATCTCTGGGGCAAATCTTTAGGTATTAAGTAGTCACAGATAAAACACAAAAGTTTTACTTTCCTCAAATTTTGGAAATGATTAAGCATGAAAGCAAGTCAAATGGTATATCAAGTAAAAGTCCTAGGTTCTCGGTGCTTTCCACTGAACACATATATACAATTAAACATAAGTAGTATATTTCTGAAAATGCTCACCTTGTCCCCCTGCAACCCATTTAATTCCAATCCACCACAAGGTAAACATCGTACAGTGATGATACACATGAAGGAAAGAAACTTGGTTGTTTTTCTTTCTCAGAATAAAAAACACTGTATCCAAATACTCAACTCCTTTAGATACAAAGTACCACCACAGAGCAGCAGCTATCTGTAAAAATGGAAATCATGTAATAAACACCAAAATGACACTATTGTATGGGTTTCTACTCATTGTAAATAAGTCCAAAATAAACATTTGCATATTACACAAAGAACAAGGCATGGAATCATTTATGGCTAACAAGGTTTGGAAAACCTAAGCATCTCTGCATAGGGAAAAAATAGGAAAGAGAGTCCAAAATGTCATTTATTTATACAGTGCCAATAATTTAGAGAATATTTTCAGTCTTTTACATAGGTAGACGTCACACTGTATTTAGTGTCAAACTGCTAAATACAGAGCTGGAAGCACATTCAGATTGCTATCTTTTTCAATTTGGTAGAGGAACTGAGATGTTTACTTTGTAAAGTGATTTTAGTTGTTCATGCTTAGCCTATATTATAGCTCAGAGAAACATGCAAGTAAGTTCATGTAGCAACTGGTCTCTTCCAGTGTCTGCCTGTCTGCCCATTCTCTCTCCCCACTACCCTCCCCTCTCCCTACACCAACATGTGCAAAAACATAAATATCCAATCACAGCAGTTTGCATTAGGTATTAAAATCTTTAAAATAATAAATTGGAATGAACAAACAAATATTTCCCAGGTCATAAATATAATCCTGCTTACATGAATAAGTCTTTTCTTTTCCTGGGCTCTAATTAAGGCACCAGATGGTGCAGAAAGATTACATTACATGCTGAGATTAAGGATCCAGTGAGAGGTGACCTCTGTATGTTTTAAAATGTTTTACAAGAATCCTACCATAACAATAACCAAAACTTAATTTTTTATGTCAAGTATTTTCTATGATTAGCTTCCTAGTACAAATAACAAGGCAGTACATACGAAAATCGATTTATAATCCTTTGTGTGTTAGGACCCTATCAGATTTATTCACAGACAGGCTTAGGTGTTTTAGAGTTGAAGGATCCCTTTGCATTTTATACCTGCACCGGTATATGTCATGAGTTTTTTGTTTTGTCTTTTACATTTGAAAAACAAAATTGTAATTTTAAAGTTTGGGGAAAGAAGAAAGGGAACGCATGTAAGAAATAAAGTATTTACAAACTGAGAATTATTTACTGGATTTACTCGAAAAATATCATTATAAATGATACAAATTGGTGGAAAATAGCCTTAAAATAGTTAACTACTCCCAGCAACACTATAGTTAATATTCATTATTATACTAGTTCTTTAAAATAAGGTAACTATCACCATTTTGGCATAGTAACTTTAGAAGGAAAGTGATAATGTCTTATTTTGCTTCCATCTGGACCTCTACATTTGCCACAATTCACATAAAATAATAATAAACAGTAAGTCTCCTTAGTTTGCAAACTGCATTAGATATCTTTAAATAGACTATAACAAAAGTAATACGTCTTAGCTACACAACAGTGAATACAAAAATCCCCCATGCCAGGAAACTACTTTTCTCAAGGGAAGCTACTAGATCTTATTACTACCATACATTTTAGGTAACATAAAACATATCTTTTATGTGTAATTTTTAGTATGAACCACAGTATATGAGTTCAATAAATAATAGAATAAGGTAATCTGTTGTTTCTTTTGATTGAATTAATGTTAATTTTACTCATATAAGTGACTGGAAAATAAAATATGGTAACATCTTACTAGTGGTTTATTTTTCTGCAAATATAATAAGAAACTCAACTTATGGCTATACAAATTGTTCTATGCTTAATTTCCTAAACATTCCACACTTCACAAAACATTTACTTTTCCTCACTTTCTTAACAAATAACTTGGACTCAGTTTCTATTCTTGACCAAAAACAAACAAAAAAATCTAAAATAATATCTAAAAGAAACATGAAACTTCCTTGCTTTCACAAGTACTGCATTCTAGTAATCCAATGCATATTTGCTCATGCTGCAAAATTAAGTACTTAAAAAAAAGCATAGCTTTATTGACTCATAACAATCTAGTATAATTTCACTATCACATTAAAGTACATTTTGCCAGGTGTGGTGGCTTGCACCCATAATCCCAGCACTTTGGGAGGTTAAGGCAAGAGGATCCCTTGCAGCTAGGAATTCAAGACCAGCCTGAGCAATACAGCAAGATCCAGTCTCTACAAAAAATTAAAAAGTAGCTAGGCGTGGTGGTACATACCCATAGTCCCAGCTACTTGGGAGGCTGAGGCAAGAGGATCACTTGAGACCAGAAGCTGGAGGCTGCAGTGGGCTATGATCATACATACCACTACACTTCAGTCTGGGTGACAGAACAAGAAGCTGTCTCTAACTGAATGTTAAAGAACCTGTCTCTAAAAAAAACCAAAAAGTACATTCTACATTTTCACAGACTGGAGCCTATAAAATCAAACCACTTTTACTGATTAAAAGTATTTCTAATGTACTTACCCTGACTTCATTAACATTATCAGAATAATCCACACTCTGGCAAATATAGCTATATCCCGCATTATATGATCCCATGAATAACTGAAAAAGTAATAATATTTGTAGTAAAGTTTTAGTAGATACAGCATTAAAAACACAATTAATACAAAATGTAACCTTTCAAATTATTTTAAAAGGAGCATTTTCTTTAAAAATTTCAAATGCATTGAAAATTTAACACATTGTAATTGCTAGAGGTTACTGTGCATTAATTTGTTTATAATTAAAATCTAAATTAAAAATCACATGTAACTTTTAGACTGAGTATCAACTCTATCAAATACTTCACAACATTAAGAGATATTTTTATTGCTAGGACTCAGATTTTAAAGTTGTCCTACCTT